ATTTATTGTAGAGATGAGGTCTCGCCTGCCCAGGCGGGTCTCGAACCCGCAGACCCAGACAGTCCACTAATCTCAGCCTCCCAAAGTGCTGGGATTACAGGCTGAGCCACTGAGGCCGGCCAGGACAGACTCTTTAGAGAACTAAAGAAAGTATGGCAGCCACCCGGAGAGCAGCATGTGGAGATGTGAAGATGAGGCTAAAGCAGACGTGCAAGCCATAGGAGTTATCCTGAGGGTGAGTGGGGAGCCTTCGAAGAGTTTCCAGGGTGGGAGAGTATCAGAGTTGAGTTTATGCAGAGAACACTTTGGATAATATGGAGATTTGATTAAAGGAGGAAAACACAGGAGGTTAGTACAATAACAACAGGTTGGAAATTTCAGTGGGCAAGGTGAGACATGACTTCATTTGAGATATAGTTGGTAAAGTCAGAGAACTTGGTAATTTCTGGATGCAGACCATGGAGGAGTTAGACGATTCAAGAATGAAAGCTTGGTTTCTGGCTTGCACAACTGGGTAGCATCATTTGTTGAAATGAGGCACACAAGACGAATTCTGGGACAAGCAGATGTGTGCAGATCTGGACATGCTAATTTGAGATGCTATTTTGAATGCTCAAGAGGAAATGTCAGCTAGATGTGTATCTGGAACTTGGAAGAGAGATTTAGGCTGGAAAAGGGAATCATCAGAATACAGATGCTCACTTGAAGACATGAGAGGGAGAGAAAAGGGTCTGGAGACAGCCAGAGGGAGAACCGAAAGATTAAATGGTGACTAGAGAAATACTATGTCAGAGAAATTTAAGGCGAGGTGCTTTTTTGTTTTTTGAGTCAGGGTCTTTCTCTGTTGCCCAGGCTTTGAGTACAGTGGCACAATCACAGCTCACCACACTTCAACCTCCTGAGTAGCTGGAACAACACCACACCCACCTAAATTAAAGCGCCTTTGGGAGCCTGCGGGTTCGAGACCCGCCTGGGCAACTTGGCGAGAACTCATCTCTACAATTAAATCAAAAAATGAGTCCAGCGTGGTGGCATGCTCCTGTAGTTCCAGCTACTCGGAAGGCTGAGGCAGGAGGATCGCCGGAGCCCAGCAGGTCGAGGCTGCGGTGGCTGGGAGCGGCCACTGCACTCCAGTCTGGGCGATAGAGTGAGACTCCAAAAAAAAATTTTTTTGTAGAGATGAGATCTTGCTATGTAGCCTGATCTTGAACTCCTGGGCCCAAGCACTCCTCCCGCCTCAGCCTCCCAAAGTGCTGGAATTGTGAGCCACTATGGCCAGCAAACTTAAGGCAAGCCTTGAGGAGGAAAAGTGGTAAATTTTAAATATTAAAGGGAATGAAAAAAAAATCTTACCTATAGGATTCAGCAACAAAGTCTTTGTTGACTGACCCAAGAAATTTTGACCCAGGAAGTTAAAATTTATTTACTTTTGCTAATTCTGTTTCATATAAAATTACCAACCTTTCCAAAAGCATTCTGCTTTATACTTTTCAAATGAATGCATGCTATTGAGTCAGTAATTCCCCCCCATGATTATATCTAATGTGACCACTAGTTAACTTTTTTGCTCTTCCTATCCCTGTGCCTTGGACCTTAGAAATAATTAAAAACTCTCTGATTTTGGGGAGAGAATTGTGCCATGCCCCCTTTTTTCCGCTTCTTTTTAATTCAGTCAAGTGATTGGGTCCATATTGCTTGAACATCTTTCAGGTGATTGACAAGTCATCTATGCTTTTCACTGGCACTCCTTGCTCCATTATTTTTTCTTTTTGAGTCAGAGTCTCACTCTGTTGCCCAGACTGGAGTGCAATGGCACAGTTACAACCTCCTGGGCTCAGGTGATCCTTCCGCCTCAGCCTTCCAAGTAGTGGGAACCACAGACACATACCACTGCACCCGGCTAATTTTTTGATTTTATTGTAGAGATGATGTCTCGCCAAGTTGTCCAGGCTGGTCTCCAACCCCTAGGCTCAAACAATCCTCTTGCCTCTGCCTCCCAAAGTACTGGGATTCCAGGAATGAGCCACCGTGCCCGGTCCTCTTTTTGTATTCTTTATGCAAGTTCATCTTTAAGAAAATATTAACTGAAACAGTTTCTCCATTACTAGTCAATATTCTAAACCAACTATCAGGTAGAACTTCTGCAATGATGGAAATATATTCTATATTTGCATTGTCCAATATGGTAGTCACCAGCTACATGTGGCTACTGAGCACTTACCATGTGGCTAGTGCAACTGAGGGAGGAAATTTTTAATTTTTAAAATTTTTTAAACTTTTTAAAATTTTTAAAAATTAAAAATTTCAGCCGGGCTTGGTGGCTCAGCACTTTGGGAGCCCACGGGTTCGAGACCAGCCCTGGCAATTTTGCGAGACCTCGTCTCTACAAATTTTTAAAAAATGAGCTGGGCTTGGTAGCGTGCGCCTATAGTTCTGGCTACTTGGAAGGCTGAAGCAGAAGGCTTGCCTGAGCCCAGCAGGTCGACACTGGGGTGGCCGTGAGTGTGCCACTGCACTCCAGCCTGGGTGATGGAGAGAGACTTCAACTCAAAAAAAAAAAAATTAACTTCAGTGGCCACAATGATCCCTGGTAACCGTTTTTGCATTTTATCTTGAAAATTGTTCACATCTGATTGGAAGGACTTGAAATGAGATAAAATGTTGGCTGTTAAACACTAGGTTAAAAACGTCAGCGACTACCACTGTTCTTCACATGATTTTGCCTATCTTGCTATTTCAAGCCAAATCCATTTTTAAGAAAGGTGTATTCATATCCCTCTTTAATCATTTAGCACAAAACTCTGGAACATATTCTCTTAAGGACCTGTTCTTTGCTGATAGACAAGCAAAACTAATTATTAATGGGTCAATATTATTTTTTAGCCTGAGTGGCAGCACAAATAAACTAAAAAGACTGGTAGAGGCTGGCAAAGGCTGACAAACACAAAGCTTTCATATACAATAGTTTATACTGTATTTTAGTTGACACTATTAACACCTTATTGAAAATATTCCTCTTGGAAAGACCAAATTATACAAACACATAAAAAGTATTTAGTAAGAAAAAGCTTTATCTTTATATCAATGTGAACTACTAGCTGATTAATTATTAATTTCTCAAATAGGAACATTAACCTACTTGTGACTGAAGAAATAATTATCCTGTCTATGAATGACCTGTGAGCAACTGGCCAAGCCAGGACAAAACCAATGAACAGTAACTATATGTAACTCCAATTCATTTCATTTATGTAAGTGAAATGAAAGATCATTAGTATACTCAAACACTAACAATATGTACTTCAAGATTTATAAAAGTGTAATTATTCAAATAATTTAATTTTGGTGTTTATATATTTTTAATATATAAAGAACCTCTTATTCTTTAATAAGAAAACCGCATCTGATGGAAGATAAAATTATAGACAAATATAAAAATAAGAAATGCAGCCTCTTGATAACAGCCAAATCACTATATTCAATCATTTCTTTTTTTTTTTTTGAGTTGGAGTCTCACTCTGTCACCCAGACTGGAGTGCAGTGGCCGCTCCCGGCCACTGCAGCCTCAACCTGCCGGGCTCTGGCCATCCTTCCGCCTCAGCCTTCCTCAGCTGGAACTACAGGTGCGTACTACCACGCCCAGCTGATTTTTTGATTTTTGATTGTAGAGATGAGTCTCGCCAAGTTGCCTGGGCGGATCTCGAACCCACTCAGGCAATTCACTCACCTCGGCCTAACAAAGCGCTGGGATTACAGGCTGGGCCACCGAAGCCAGCCTGTATTCAATCATTTAAATTACAGTTCTAGGGGTAGAGAGGGAAGGATTTAAAAGGTTCCATTAAGTTAAACCAAGCAGATCTATTTTGAAAGGTCAAATGCAAGTTATGAACCTATGGACTTATTACTGAGAAAGACAAACTATCAATAAATTTCAAAAGTTAAAAGAAGTTGGGAAAAAATAAAAACTTTAACTAGAAAGAAAACAAAGTCTGGTTTTAATTATGGGGTTTTTTGGTTCATATTATATAAGAGCTTATTTATTATTTTTCCAAATGGGCATTTATTTGTACAGATACATAGAAATTATTCCCACTTAAAAAAAATACTAAAAAATATACATTAACCACAGAAGTATTTACTCTGACTGGAAAGAAAACATCATGACTATTTTCAAAACAGCAATAAACACAAGAAAACTACATATATAAATCATGACAAGTGTACATCTCATTTTTGACAAAAATAAGTTCCATTTTTACATTAATGCTTTATTATCAATTTCCATACAGATCCTGACCTTATTTACATTTATTATGAAATTTCTATTAGCATGTATAACTCAAAGGCACTCAATTTAAAGGTTGTAAAGTCCTGAGCTTAACTAGGAAACAGGATTCCCAACTAAAATTAGAACATAAACAGTTCCAAAGATCAGAGATTATGAAAATTACAATACCTAGTATACATAAATAGTTCACAACCTAACAAAGGTGTACAGAATGTCAAAGAAAAGACCACATAAGGCAAGAAATAGCCTCAGACTCAAACTGATTTTCCCTCATTCAAGTTCATCTGCAGGTCTGAAGCTGGTTTTGTTGTCAAAATCTAAGGAAAACTAAATTTAAATAAAATAGCATGAAAACATTTAAGTTAAAAAAAATTTCCTTAGCTTAGTCTCCAAAGATATGGAAAAAGTATTTAATAATTAAAAACAAACATAGATTGGAAAGGGATCACAGGAGGAATCATAATGAGCAGGCAAAAAACTAAAAGGAAATTCAATTATAATTTATAATTTGGCCATTCAAATTATTCCTTTAGCCACATAAAAATAAATTTATAGATGGATAACTGAGGTTCCCTAACAGAAGGTAGGGAAAAAGTTTAAGCTAAAAGTTAAATCTGTATTTTATTGCAAAGAAATGAGAGATTTACCTACAGCAATTTTCTATTGATGCTAAATTAAAAGCATGGGTTAACATCTTTATAACAAATGGTTTGACATGTTTTCTTGGCTTTAAAATGTTTTCTTCATATATGCATAGAAATGTAATGAGGATAAGAATAATCTTCTGTATTGTTTATGTAGTTCATAAGGCCTTTGTCATTGTTAGTCACCTTAGATGTGGATATCAGTAGGACCATTACATTAAAGATGGCCTAAAAAGTTTTCAAAGTGCTACTGTTTCTGACTGATGAGATCCTCAGTTTTCTGGATTTTCTGAGTGACGATTATTTTCAGTTCTTTTTTCTGGTGATATATACAAGAAGTTACAGCAGATATATAAAGGGAAGATCAGAAGCCTGCTGTCCAAGTTCATTACCACTTGTTCCTACAAGACAAATGTGTAGGATTAATTACAAGATAGCAACATGTAAAACATAAAAATATAAAACTAAACTGCTGAATTGAGACAGTATAGGATAAAAGCTTTAGTCCTGAGTTTGAGATTCACAACTCAAATCTCCAAACTCCTACCCACTACCTGTGCGGCCTTGTCAATTGCAGACAATAAGTATTGACTGTAAGCTGGGCTCAGTGGCTCAGCCTGTAATCCCGCGCCTTTGGGATGCGGAGGTGAGTGGATTGCCTGAGCCCGTGGGTTCGAGACCTACCTGGGCAACTTGGCGAGACCTCATCTCTACACTAAAAAAGTCAAAAATTAGCTGGGCCTGGTAGTGCACACCTGTAGTTCCAGCTACTTGGAAGGCTGAGGCGGAAGGATTGCCGGAGCCCAGCAGGTCGAGGCTGCTGGTCAAAAAAAAAAAAAAGAATTGACTGTAAAATGTGGACAATAAGAATACCCATCTTACAGGATTACACTGAGGATTCAATGAGACAGTGCACAGAGGGTTTATAGCAAAGCCAGCTACAAATTAAGTAAGTACTCAATAATGGTAGTTATTTTCATTACTGCAAAAGTTTCTATCAAGTATCTACATATTTTATGACTAGATACAGAGTTCAGAAGTATACAAACCTTTAGTAGTAGTCCAGGCTTCTAAAAAAAAAAACCACACCAACAAACAAAAAAGAAACATATAACATTTCTCACTTGGCTTCAACTTCTTTATCATATTTATTAAAAATTTTTTTCTTTATTTTAAAGATAGTCTCATTCTGTCGCCCAGGCTGGAATACAGTGGTGTGATCATGGCTCACTGCAGCCTCAGCCTCCTGGGCTCAGGAGATTCTTCTGCCTCAGCTTCCTGAGTAGACGGGACTACCGGAGTGTGCCGCCATGCCTGGCTAATATTTAGAGATGTCTTTATGTTACCCAGGCTGGTCTTGAACTCCTAGGCTCAAGGAGTCCTCCCACCTTGGCCTCCCAAAGTGCTGGGATTATAGCCCTGAGCCACAGCACCTGGCTTTTTAAAAAATTTTATTTTAATGATAGGGTCTTATTATGTTGCCTAGGCGGGACTTGAACTCCTGGGCTCAAGGGATCCTCCTGCCTCAGCCTCCCAAGAGCTGGGACTTAATAGGCACATGCACCGAGCCTGACTACTTGGCCTCGATTGCTGATGGCCCTAGGAACAGCAAATCGCTGCCATGACGATGGGGAGTCATTATCATCAGCAAGCAGGGTTCCCACTCTTATCTAAGACTTCCGACTGTCCCTATGACAAACGTGTTGTTTGTCTCCTGGAACATAAAATACATTATCATGTAAAAGCAATTTATTTTCAGTTACATCCATACACACAGGAATGCTCTGAACTCCCATAGAGACAGGAGTTGGTAAAAGCGGTACCACTGAGGGCAGGTGAGGTGGCTCATGTCTGTAATCCCAGCACTTTGGGAGGAAGAGGTGCTAGGATTACTGGAGCCCAGGAGTTTGAGATCAGCCTGGGCAATATAGCAAGATCCCTGTCTCTTAAAAAAAAAAGAAAAGAAAAGAAAAAGAAAAATTAGCTGGGAGTGGTGGCACTTGCCTATAGTCCCAGCTATCTGGGAGGCTGAAGTGTGAAGTTTGCTTGAGCCCAGCAGGTAAAGGTTGCAGTGAGTCATGACTGCCACTGTGTTCTAGCTTGGGAAATAGACTGAGACCCAGCCTTTTAAAAAGGTTAAGAAGAAGGAGAAAAAGACATCAATGAACAAAATCAGGCAAGGCCATCACCCAGGCTGACTGTGCCGACAGTGTCTCCAGAGAGGAACGCTGCCAAAGCATAGTTGGTCTTCGGATGCTTGAGCCAACCCTAACTCAGCCAAAATTTGTATCAATAATCGGGGTAAAGGCACATTTACCAAGTCTGCTGAGGGCAAATGCTTAGGTGACCTGGAATCTGGTGATAAAAATCAAGCTTCTGTAACTTAACAACAAAGGTTCCACGGAAGATTAGCATTCTGGTACTTGAGCACAGCTAAGGTTGGGGTGCAAAGGAAGACACAAAGACGTCACTTGGGGGCTGAATGGACGCCACTTTCTGAATCTTAAATGGTATTAATCCCTTGGCTGGGCGTAGTAGCTCATGCCTGTAATTCCAGCACTTTGGGAGACTGAGGTGGGAGGACTGCTTGAGGCCAAGAGTTTGAGACCAGCCTAGACAACACAGCAAGACCCCTCTCTACAAAAGTATCTTAAAAACTAGTTGGGCATGGTAGCCTATGCCTTAGTCCTAGCGACTCAAAAGGCTGAGGCAGGAAGACTGCCTGTGTCCAGGAATTTGAGGTTACAATGATCTATACAACTGCACTCCAGCCTGGGGGACACAGCGAGACCCTAAATTTAAAAAAACTGCATTAATTCTCAGTCCCCATCTCCCAGCAAGAAAAATCTAATCTTTGCTTTATCCAATCTTTCACTCCACCTGAGGGCTCAACTGACATCTATATTTGCATTGAAGTACTTCACAGCAAAGTTCCATCTTTCTTGTTCCATTATGGGTAGAAGCTGTGCAGCCCACATATTGCAGACAGAGAAACAGCACTTTCCTGGGTCCCTACTGCTACTTCCAGGCAATTGTTTCTTCGTCTTCACGTACAAATCCTTGCTTCTTAAAGGCTCCTGTTACTTACTCTATACTCCTCTATTATACTATTACTTCCCCCACATTTTGTCTTATAGGTCTGAATTCCAGGATCCATAAATCCAACTTCCTACTGGAAACCTGCACCTGGATATAAAGCAACTCAAATGCAAACCCTCAACTATTGGTTCCTGTCTAGTCCTTCCTTCCTTTCTGGGCCATCCCTGTTTTCACGCTTGCAGTGTGGCTTTGATTTCTCTTCTTGGCTCTTAAATGTCTCATCAGGGTTATTTTATTGCCTACCAGTGGTCCTTAGGGTCTTATCCTGTCCTCTTTTCTAGTTCAGGCATTGTTTGTAAACTCCAGATCCATTTATCACTAACTTATCAAATTTTCACTTTGATGTCCTTAAATGAAACATGCCTTTAACGTAATTCATCCTCTCTTCCCTATCACCAACACCAAGTCATGTTCATTTTCCTTCCTACAATTCAAGTCACAGGAAAAGCTACTACTATAAATTAAGTGGCCCAAGTAAGAAAACCAGGAACCACCTGATACTTTTTCTCACAGGCACACACAACCAAACACCAAATTCCGTCGGCCACACGACTTTCTCTCTGGAACCCACCACCCTTTCCTTCATCTCCACTGCTATCCTCCTTAAGGTTCTCATCGTTTTCTATCTGGGTGATAGCAATATAATCACTAAACTGCCATCCTGTCATAATCATACTTCCAATCCTTCCCACACATTGCTGTTTAAGAGCACCTTCTACCGTGCAAATCCAGGTGCACAGTCTTCTAAAATAAATATATAAAAATCACTTTGTCATCAAAAACGATTAGGAAAAAAAGACTCATGTCATAATAGCAATTAGAATATCAAATACTTAGCATTGTGCTTCTAGGAAATATATATTAGGTTGATACACAAGTTCCTAGTGTTTGTTTTTGGCATGGCAACACTGTGGCGTTGGGAGTTTATCATTTGTCATTTGGAGTGACAATGTTGTGCTTGTGAATATGCCTTGCATTTTACAGATTGAAAGACAGTTAGTGTTATTAGTGGGCTAAAGAAGATGGAGTGTCAAGTGGAAAAAACCGAACACTTCTGACATCTGTTTAACAGAGGAGTAAAGGCAGCGCAGGCGGTTTGAAACACTTATGCGTGTACGGGGAGAATGCCACTGGGGAAAAGCATGGCTCTCTTTCAAAAAGGGCCACTTTGATCTGAGTGATTCTCCACATTCAGGAAGACTGTCGCACTTTGACAAAGACTGTTTAAATGCTTTATCCACAATAATCCATGTCAGTCAACTCAAGAATTGACAAATGTGAGGAACTAGCCAGTCAACCATCATGTGACATCTGCAGTCCATGGGCAAGCAGAAAACACTAAGAACTTATGCATCAACCCAATAGTAACAACATGGGAAAAACTAAAAATTTTAAAGAAAAACATAAAAGAAGATTTAATTAAAAGAAGTACCTATTCCAAAAGGAAACACATCAATTTCCCACAATTTACTCTATATATTTAATAATATAAAGCAAAATTCCCATGGAATTGAGAGGAAACTTGACAAAATGATTCTACATCCCATAAGAAATAATTACCATTCACAAAGAACCAGGGATTTTTGAAAAAAGAATGAAGATGGTTTTGCATTACTAGGTATTAAAATGCATTTTAAAGTTAGCCTAATTAGGCCAGGTGTGGTGGTTTACACCTATAATCGGAATGCTTTGGGAGGCTGAGGCAGGAGGATTGCTTGAGCCCAGGAGTTCGAGACTAGCCTAGACAACAGAGTGAGACCTCATTGCTACCATTAAAAAAAAAATTATCAGGTGTGGTGGCGTGCACCTGTAGTTCCAGCTACTCGGGAGAATGAGGCAGAAGGATCGCCTGAGTCCAGGAGGTCGAGGCTGCGGTGAGCCACTGCGCTCTACTCTGGTCAATTCCAACTCAAGTGAATAAATGGATGGATGAATAAAGTAAGCCTAATTAAAACGATGTTGTCTTGTCTTATCAAAAAAAAAAAATCAATAAAACAGGAAGTTCAGAAATGAACCCAAGTTTATAAGGACTTAGTATATGATAAGGCATCTCAAACACATTGATAGATCTGATACATATCAGATGTACCATCAAATGTAAAAAGTGAAACCATAAAAGGAGAAAAAATATATAGATGAGTGTCTAGTAATAATAAGGAGACCTAAGGATCACATCAAAAGAAGAAATCAATAAAGGAAAAGATAGGTCATTTTGAAGGTTGAGAAGACAAATGACAAAAATGGAAAAACTGCAGCACATCACAAATGCTGGTATTCTTAATATATAAAAGTGTTTAAAATTAGCAGAAAAAACCGAACATTTTAGTAAAAATTAAACAGACAATATAAACTGTCAATTTACACAAGATATTAAAGCACACCAAAAACCCCAATGATACCAGTAACCAAAGAAATGAACATTAAAACAGTATAGTTTATTTTCACTTACGGCACTGGGATAGAAACCAGAAAGAATGGTATTATCCTATATTGGGTATATCATCCTATACTGCTGGGGGAAGTGTAAATAGGGCAGTACTTCTGGAGGGCAATTTGGCCATTAGAAAATATATGTACCATTTGACAAGAATTCTACTTCTTGGAATTTATCGTTTTAAAAATCAGGAAAACAGACAAAGATATATGTATATTTCTTACAATAATGAAAAAAATGAACAACTAACATTAAACAGTTAATAAAAATGGCATTGTGAACGTATATTTATTGGCAAGGGAAGGCCACACACAGTGAAGTAGGAGGGAATAGGCTATAATTGTCACCTCATTGTCTGATACATCTAGGCTCTCTTGGCCTTGGGCTCCAAAAGGGGGCCCATTCTTTCTTCTACTGGGCCCAGGCCAGGTGACCCCTTTTGTCTCTGTTCCAGGTCTGACCACTATGCCATCATCAAGTTTCTCCTTGACTACTGAGTCAGCCATGAAGAAGGCAGATGATAACAACACACTTGTGTTCATTGTGGACATCAAGGCCAACAAGCACCAGATCAAACAGGCTGTGAAAAAGCTCTATGATTCCGATGTGCCCAAGGCCAACACCTTGATCAGGCCTGATGGAGTGAAGAAGGCCTATGCTTGACTATCCCCTGACCATGCTGCCTTTTTTTTTTTTTTTGAGTTGGAGTCTCACTCAGTCACCCAGACTGGAGTTCAGTGGCCGCTCCCGGCCACCTCAGCCTTGACCCGCTGTGCTCCGGTGATCCTTCCGCCTCGGCCTTCCAAGTAGCTGGAACTACAGGCGCGCGCTACCACGCCCGGCTAATTTTTTTGATTTGTTGTAGAGATGAGGTCTCGCTAAGTTGCCCAGGCGGGTCTCGAAACCGCAGACTCAGGCAATTCATTCAACTCCCAAAGCGCGGGATTACAGGCTGAGCCACCGAGCCCGGCAATGCTGCTTTACATGCTGTCAACAAAACTGGGATCATCTAAATTGAGTCTAGCTGGCTAATTCTAAAGATATATTTTTTTCCCACCATAAAAGAGCAGGTTACACAACAGTTAATAGTAAGATCAAATTTAGTACAAAATATGTAAGTGAAGAAAAAAATGCCAGCAGTGTACCTGCGTGGTATATGTATGACTTTGGTTTCACCTTACTTATATTTTCTATAACATCTATAACCTATGTCAAATATACATATACAGTTCCCCTACTAAAATCTTTCCAAACTTTATCCACAGCCCATCATGCCCTGGTTCTAGTTGTATGGAACTCCTCCAATGGTCTTTCCGCTACTTGAATGACCCACATATCCCTTGCTTCCATTTTACTCATCATTTGAGGATTGGTTCAGGTATTTATTCGCTTTTCAACTCTCTCAGAAGAGGTTTTCCCTGAGTTATCATCCTTTCTCCTCCTCCCCTCATCCCCAGCTGCTCAGTACGGGCTGGATACTTCTCCCTCAATGCTGCACACTACACTGAGCTCATTCTATCATGCTACTTATACTAGGCCAGATTCACACAAGCTCATCTTTATTTCTTCTACCACACAGTAAGGACACAAATATTTGCGGAAGGAACATTTGGAATACAACTGTCATCTTGACCTGGCACTTTTTAAGTCTCTGGCTGCTTTGAGCCATGACAATATCTTTTTTTTAATTGGAGTCTCACTCCGTCACCCAGGCTAGAGTGCAGTGGCATGCTCACAGCCACCCCAGTGTAGACCTGCTGGGCTCTGGCGATTCTTCTGCCTCAGCCTTCCAAGTAGCTGAAACTATAGGCATGTGCTACCACATCCGGCTAATTTTTTATTTGTTGTAAAGATGAGGTCTCACCAAGTTGCCCGGGCTGGTTTTGAACCTGGGGACTCAGGCAATCCACTTGCCTCAGCCTCCCAAAGTGCTGAGATTTACAGGCTGAGCCACCAAGCCCGGCCAATATCTTTTTTTAAAATGAAGTTCCAGGTAGAAAGTAAAGAAAGTCATTGTCCATTCGGCTCCAGAGGGTACAAAGAAGAACCAATAGAGAATTCCAATGGAGGCAGATGTGAACTTTCTCATTATATATCTGCCTTGAAATGCATATTACCCACCAGGTAAGATGGCCAACTCTCTGTTGTTAGTTCCAACAATGGATGGAGGACTCTGTAAGAATGCTGCTAAAGGAATTCTCACACAGGGTATGTGAGGTTACAGCAATCAAGTGATTGGTTCCTTGCAATGCAAAGATGTTTCACAATGGTATCTTCAGTCTGAGGAAAACTGCTCACTACTCATGATTCATGTGAGCTATATAATAGGCTCTGAATCCTTTATTAAAACATTATGCCCTTCAGAATTATGGTTAGTTTTAACAGAAATAACTTTATCCAATATTTTAACAGCTTTCATTTTACTTTTTGAAAATAGCTTACTTTCTTATCATGACACTTTGAAACTTCTACATGCGTGTGATGCATTGAAGAAAAAAATGGCTTTAAGATTATTTGGGTAACATGACAAGGTTTGTCATTTTATAAAACGAATTTATTAAAAAATAATGCTTCTGTAATATTCAGGAGCTATGGAGACATACCAGATTGTCGTCAAGATGCCTATTGCTAATGTACAAACAAATGCACTTATGTAAGATTCATAAATTTTTGAAGATGATATTCAGAATGAACAATTACTTCCTTATAATCAGTTTTTCCCTGCCCCTCAAATTGTGTTTCTTTTTTTTTTCTAGTTATGCTTCTAGTGGGATGGGGTAAACTATATAGAAGTAAACATGGTACTTTCATCTTCACTCTCAAAAAACTTTCAGACCAATCTTAAAATAAAAATATCATCACTTTGGCTGCTCCAAAGGTAGTGAGTTATCTCAACTGATTGTTCAGTCAATTATAGATTGAACTCCTTGTTCTACTCTTTCCCTGCTTCTCACTCCTGCACTTGACTAGTCTTAAAAACCCAAATATCATCACTTTAATGTTAACTCAAGAGTTTTCAAGCGGATTCAAAAGACAAATATTACGACAACACAGAAGATAATCAAACATACCTGATCCTTTTCAAGTGTAAGTATTTGATAGCCAGTTGTTCTACTACATATTAGTTTTCCACTACTATCAAAAGAAGCCAAACGCAACCTAGGATTTAAAAAACCCAAATCAAAAAATACACATAAGATTTTTAACCACAGATTAATTTAAACAAGCGTTCCCTATGTTTTCTTACAAGGGTTTCACAGTCTTAGTTCTTAAGTTTAGGTCTTTGATCCATTTTGAGTTAATTTTTGTATGTGGTATGAGGTAAGTATAAATAAATAACTTTTTTTTTTTAAGTTGTGGGTCTCACTCTGTCACCCAGGCTGGAGTGCAATGGCATGATCACAGCTCACCACAGCCTCCACCTCCTAGGTTCAGGTGATCCTTCTACCTCAGCCTCTGAGTAGCTGCGACTACAGGTGCACACCACCACACCCGGCTAGTTTTTTTGATTTTTTGTAGAGATGAGGTCTTGCTATGCTACCCAGGCTGATCTCAAACTCCTGGCCTCAAGAAGTCTTCCAGCCTTGGCCTCCCAAAGTGCTGGGATTACAAATGTCAGTCATTGCATCTGGCCAAAATAAATGACTTTTAAATAGTATGTTCATTAAGTTACTTTCCAATTTATCAGTCTATAGCATCCTCTCAGAAAAAGATTACCAGGTCAACTATCAGGCAAAGTTTGACCTATCAAATCCTGTAGAAAATAAAGGATAGTACCAGACATGCTTTCTTGGAAAGATATACCTTGCCGTATTTTTACTTTGGATCTTTTATTTGCTAGAAATAGTAACAAGGTAACAGTTGAATGATACAGAATTGATATTCAATATTCAGTATATTCATTTTCCCTGACATACTAGATGCTATGATTTATTAGTAACACATTTCGTAGGAACAGGGCCTTATCATTTCCTACCACTTTCACATTTACTGTATCTTACTAAAGTTCTACTACTGTTGATGTAAATTATCAAGGTTTTATTTTATTTCTTGTATCTCCTCTGACGTGAGGAGGAATGGGGTGGAGAAATGTCATCCTACCTAAAGGCTATGCTCCTTCGCGGCTGTAAACTGACAGATCCGCTACATGGCTGATTCAGTGTATTGCGCTTGAAAATGATGTAACGATTGGTGTAAGTTACAAGTAAATCAAAGCCGAAGTTAAAACCCGTCCACCGCCAGCAGTACTAAGAAATAAAAAAAAAAGACATTTCAATTTATTATATTAGCAAGTCAAAACCAAAAAGTTCACAATGTCTTTTTTTGTTCCTAATCCAGTCCAAGTATTCTCTTGTGGGTGCCCTACTTTTTGTGTCTTTCCCCAAGGATTATCACACATAACTGTCTATACTAGAAAAGCCTCATTTATGATCACAATTCTTTTTTTTTTTGAGTTGGACTCTCACTCTGTCGCTCAGGCTGGAGTGCAGTGGCATGCTCACAGCCACCCCAGTGTTGACCTGCTGGACTCAGGCAATCCTTCTGCCTCAGCCTTCCAAGTAGCTGGAACTACAGGCACACGCTACCACTCCCAGCTAAATTCTGATTTACTGTAGAGATAAGGTCTTGCCAGTTGCCCAGGCTATTCTCCAACCCGTGGGCTCAGGCAATCCCTTCACCTCAGCCTCCTAAAGTGCTGGGATTACAGGCTTGAGGCACTGCTCCTGGTCCATCATAATTCTTTAAGGTATGTTCCTAGTGTTATCTCTTCATGATGTTTCCTTATTGTTCCACACTGTAATTTTATCATAAATAATAAGGTTTCCCACTGCAACTCTAAATAGGGTATAGCTTTGGGAACTAGGTGCCTAGATGGAGGTAAAAAGAACCCATTAAAATATACCTTGCTTTAAAAATACTCTATAGGCCGGGCACGGTGGCTCAAGCCTGTAATCCCAGAACTTTGGGAGGCTGAGGTGAGGGAACTGCCTAAACCCACGGGTTCGAGAACAGCCTGGGCAACTTGGTGAGACCTCGTCTCTACGACAGATCAAAAAATTATCTGGGCGTAGTAGTACGTGCCTGTAGTTCTGGCTACTTGTAAGGCTGAGGTGGAAAGATTGCCTGAACCCAGCAGGTCGAGGCTGTGGTGGCCATAAGCATGCCACTGCACTCCAGCCTGGGTGACAGAATGAGAGTCCAACTTAAAAAAAAAACACCCAAAAACCAAAGCAAAAAAACAAAGAGCTAAGTGACTGGGGCAGTGACTGACAGGATGAGAAAAGCTGGAGGTGAGTTCACAGAGGCAGTCAGGGGTCAGAGGAGATAGGGCCCAGTAGTCATGGTTACTCAGGAGACTGAAGCGAAAGATCACCTGAGCCCAGGAGGTCGAGGCTGTGGTGAACTGTGATAGTGCCATCGCATTCCAGCCTGGGCAAAAGAAAAATATCATATGACAGCTCCTACACAACTTTTTTGTCTTAACTTCTGGATTGCTAAGGGATCCTCTTCTCGTATCTCTTATCTGAACCTAAAATTTAAGTTCAACAGTTTCATGCAAGCCTGAGTAGTCAATCACTACTGAGCTTGCTGGCTCTAACTCCTTACCTAGAAGAACATGCTTCAGAAAGTTTATCGAATAAGCTCATCCAAGGTATGACAAGTATCACTATTGTTATTTAAAGTACATCATGTGCTGATAATATAACAATTTGTATGAGAACAATCCATACTTACTTCACCATCTTTGGCAAGCTTTCTACCACACCTCATGCTATTTCCTTCTAGTTCTTCTTTATTGATTTCTTGAGGCCTAAAAATATACATAAGACATAAACTCGCATATAAAAATAGGAAATTAGTAATTGAAAAATAACTGAGTTAAAAAGAACAGAAAATCTTGCTGATAAATTTAAAAATAAAATTTTGTGGTATAGATAAAAATGTGTTAAGTCTAGTCCATTGCTTTTACTAAATAAAAAAATATATAAAATCATCAATGTTTCACTTATTGCCCTGACTTATAGATTACTTTTATTAAGGTTCAGTCAAATCAGAGAAGAGGGAAAAAAAAGTCTATGAAAAATTCTGCTCAACAAAAAAACCCCCAAAAAACCCCATAAAAGTCTAAGAAATTAAAATCTATTATGTGACATGATATCACCTACCACTTATGTTACTTGTTTCACATGCAAATTTATTTATTTTTGCTTGTTTACTGTAGCTTTATTCATAATTGCCAAAACTTGAAAGCAACCAGGATTTTTTTTTTTTTTTTTTTTAATTGGAGTCTCATTCCATCACCCAGGCTGGAGTGCAGTGGCACACTCACGGCCACCCCTGTATCAGGCTCCGGCGATCCTTCTGCCTCAGTCTTCCAAGTAGCTTGAACTACAGGCACACGCTACCATGCCCGCATGCCTGGCCAATTTTTGTTTTTAAGTTTCTTGTAGAGACAAGGTCTCACCAAGCTGCTGGGGCTGGTCTCGAACACTTCAGGCTCCGGCAACCCACTCGCCTCAGTCTCCCACAGTGCTGGGATTACAGGCTGAGCCACCGAGCCCAGCCTCCAAGATGTTTTTAAATAGGTGAATGGAAACATAAACTGTGATACATCCAGACACTATTATTCAGCACTAAAAGGAAACAAGCTATCAAACCATGAAAAGACATGAAAGAACCTTAAAAGCATATTATTAAGTGAAAAAAGTCAACATGAAAAGCTATATACTGCATGGTCCCAACTCTATGACAGTCTAAAAAAGGCAAAATTACAGAGACAATTGAAAAATCAGTGGCTGTTGGGGCCTGGGAGGAAAGAGAAGCAGAGCACAGAGGATTTTCAGGACAGTGCAACTGCTCTGCATGACACCGCATGACGGATAGACCCTTCCAGTAAGAAGCTATCTTTTAAAAAAAAAAAAAAATTGTTTTAAAGATGTGGGGTACAATTCAGAATTAGGTATATAAGTGGACATCATACGGGTAAAGTTTGGGGCTCCCTTTGGCCCCCATTTTGCCTGGTTTGAGATCAAGGTACCCTTATTGATGTTGTCTCCTCACATCCCCCACCCCGGTAGTATGCCACTACCGCCAATCCCTTTCTTATAGTAGCATGGTAAATGTTCAGGGTTCACTTATGAGTGAGAACATGTGGTACCCTGTTCTTTGCAAAATCAATATTTAATAGAAAACAACTATAGAATTTCACCAACTGGTCTTTACTTGGCTCCTCAATTAACTAAGAGAAACATTGCTATCTCAAGCTGTAATAAAAATGATGTTATTCTTAGCTTGAAGATGCCAAATGTTAACAGTAGTACAATATATTCATTAGTTTACAGTATGAAGTGCCTAGGAACTGGGGACATAATACATATAATAATAAATAATGAAATAAATAAGTAAATGTAAATAAATAAAACATGTCCTTGACATCCAAGAGCTTCGTCTAATAGGGCACTAGACATAAGTAATAATTATAATAATGTTTAGCTTGTGATGTTAAGAGCATGACAAGGCCCAGATTTACTGCCTGGGATTACAGGGGGAACCATTACAGAGCAAATATTATCTGTGCCTGAATGGGAGCTTGTGGAGGTAGAAGTAAGAGGTAAATTCTGTGCAGGGGGAAGAATATTTCAGGCAGAAGGAATAGCAGATAAAAAAGAATTGGAGCATAAAATACCAAATGTACAAGGAATTTACTGCAACTGCAGCACATGAACATAAGCGTTTAGCACATATTTAGTGTAGATGAATATGAGACGACATGAAGCTAAAGACATCTGGGACAGAATGCTGACAGTCCCCAACAGGCCATGCTAATAAGTTTCAGCTGCTCCTGTAGGTAACAAAGAGTTACCAGGCATTTTTTTCCTGTAACTTTCAAACTTTTTATTATGAGAAATTACAAGCATATGAAAGTAGAGGAAATAACATAATGAGCCAAATTTTCTTACCATCTAGCTTCAATAATTTTGAATAGCTATACTGTGATACCTTAACTGTCATCAAATATCCCTGGACAAACTTAAGCAGGGAAGTGACACAATTATATTTTTGTTTTAGAAAGTGAACCCTCTTGGCAATGTGGAAGAGAGTTTGGACAAGGAGGACCCTAGAGGGAGACTTTACTAGATCATAATCTAGTAGCCAGGAAATACACTGTCTTCTTCACTTTAGTAGCCCCATAGCAGGGAACTTAGTGTCTGTGGAATAGAACATTTCATCAGGGCAATAAAATCATATGCAGTTGACCCTTGAACAATATAGTTCTGAACTGCTTGGGTCCACTTACATGCAGATTTTTTTTACACAAACCCAGATCAAAAATGCAGTGTTTGTGGAATGCGAAATCCTCAGAGGCAGACAGCTGACTTTTCACATATGCAGGTTCTAAAGAGCCAACAGCAGGACTAGAGTATGTGTGGATTCTAGTAAACGCAAATGTCCTGAAACCAATGCCCCATGCATACTGACAGATAGAACTATACTTCTGAGGGCAGCCAAACACTTACTCTAGCTCAGCATCTTAGATGAGACTCCATACTGACCTCAGTAAGGATATGGATGAGAAAAATCTTGAAAAATAAAGAACACCCAAAACTTATAAACTAAATACACAAAAAAGCAGGATGATTTAGACATTATTTCATACATTACAAAATGTTTCAAATCTCAATTCTATTAAACAATTAACTCTTATTTTTTGGCTTCTATTTATTATTTCTATTTCGGTAATTTTACTATATTTGTATTGGATAAGTATGCTACAAATATCTTTGTAAAAAGATGGCATTATATGGCTGGGCATGGTGGCTTATGCCTGTAATCCCAGCACTTTGGGAGGCCAAGGTGGAAGGTTCATTTGAGCCCAGAAATTCAGGACCAGCCTAGGAAACATAGTGAGACTTTGTCTCCATAAAATATAAAAAAATTAGCCAGGCATGGTGGCATGCACCTGTAGTCCCAGCTACCCGGGAGGCTGAGGCAGAAGGCTCACTTGAGCCCTGGAGGTCAAGGCTGTGGTGAGCAGTGACTGTGCCCCTGTACTCCAGCCTGGGCCACAGAGGGAGAACTGGACTAAAAAAAAAAAAAAAGAGAGAGAGAGAGAAAAGATGGGATTATGAAGTAGACACCAAAAATCCTGGATAATAATGACCTCATAATCATCATGAATTTATATAACACTTTCATACACTACTATGTGAATACAAATTTATATAAACTAGGCCATTATTTTAGAAAATTTTTGGTATATATAAATGGGTTAAAAGAGATCAGGAGAAAAAAATTAAACTTATGAAGACCTCTTCTACATACTCAAAGATAGACTCTCGCTTCACACTACCTACTTCAAGGAGCTAGTACAAGCATCAAGTCATAAACGTAAAAGCACTCCTGTGAATCGCAAAGCACCATAAAATGAAAGAATAACTTTCTTTCCCTTAGAATACATAAAGTGTATAAATATTTTGTAGGTGGAGTCCTATGTTTTTTTTTTTTTTTTTTACACAACTATGTAAAAAAAAGAATGATTTATTTTCCGAGTCCTATGTTTTTATTTTACCTATAACAAGATGATTTCACTTTAGAACCAGAAGGTAGTTCACTTTAGACTTAAAGATCTTCAAAACTTATTACATTAATCAGAATTTGACAATATTATCACAAATAAGAAAATTAACTTTACCTATATATAAATATAAAAATTATGCTTTATGGAAGCATTATTTCAAGTAATATCTAAATATATTGAAAGAAAGTCATCAATAATACTAGGTGAAACAAAGTATGCAGATTAAACATTCAGTTTTGTTAAGATAGCAAATGACAATTTGAACATTCCATTAAATTATCTAATTAACCAGAAAGATATTTATAAGATTGATATTATAAAAATGTAAAAATAAAGCCGGGCTCGGTGGCTCAGCCTGTAATCCCGTGCCTTTGGGAGGCTGAGGTGAGTGGATTGCGTGAGCCCGCGGGTTCGAGACCCGCCTGGGCAGCGAGACCTCATCTCTACAATAAATCAAAAAATCAGCCGGGCGTAGTAGTGCATGCCTGTAATTCTGGCTACTTGGAAGGCTGAGGCGGAAGGATCGCCAGAGGCCAGCAGGTCGAGTCTGCGGTGGCTGGAAGCGGCCACTGCACTCCAGTCTGGGTGACCGAGTGAGACTCCAACTCAAAAAAAAAAAAAAAGTAAAAATAAAAGTAGATTATATGAGCTTTACTTCAATAGCTTTACTTTTCAATATCATTACTAATTTTTTGACATATTAATACATTAAAAAATTTATAGTGTTAAGTTTTTTTTTAAATGAACAATTATGTGATATAATATACCTACCCCACCTCACTGTCTTGTTCTGCCCGTAGCATAGCAAGCCACTGCTGTTTATATACAGAGAAGAGCCATTCTAAAATGTAAAAATAAATACATGAATTAATAGTAATAAATAAAAATAGAAGAACATAAAGGATTCTAAATAGTTGATATAATTGATACCATTTCTAAATTCTAGTTTAAAATGGCAATTTAAAAAGCAGGTAGCAGCCGGGCTCGGTGGCTCAGCCTGTAATCCTGCGCTTTGGGAGGCTGAGGTGAGTGGACTGTCTGAGCCTGAGGGTTCAAGACCCACCTGGGCAACTTGGCGAGACCTCATCTCTACAATAAATCAAAAATCAGCCGGGCGTGGTAGCACGCGCCTGTAGTTCCAGCTACTTGGAAGGCTGAGGTGGAAGGATCGCCGGAGCCCAGCAGGTCGAGGCTGCGGTGGCCGGGAGTGTGCCACTGCACTCCAGTCTGGGCGACAGAGTGAGATCCAACTCAAAAAAAAAAAAAAAGCAGGTAGCTTATGTTTACCAATATGCCGTTACAATGTGGCTTAACTATCTTTAAAGTGGTAAAGGTTGGCCGGCATGGTGGCTCAGCCTGTAACCCCAGCACTTTGGGAGGCCGAGGTGAGAAGACTGCCTGAGCCTGGGGGTTCGAGATCAGCCTGGGCAACTTGGTGAGACCTCGTCTCTACAAATAAATCACAAAAACTAGCCGGGTCTGGTGGCATGCGTGTGTAGTTCCAGCTACTTGGTAGGCTGAGGTGGAAGGATCACCTGAGCCTAGCAGGTTGAGGCTGCAGTGGGCATGAGCATGCCACTGCACTCTAGCTTGAGTGACAGAGTGAGACTCCAACTCAAAATAAAAAGGTAAAGGTTATCTAGTTTTGCCCAGGCTAGACTATATTGAGATTGCATATATTCAAATTAGGATGCAAATTCTTAGTTAAAAATATATTCTTGCATTTAAATTTCCTTTCATAGCTCATATTAATTTTCAATGTAAAAATCGCTCCAAAAACAATATTTTCAGTTTTATAAAAGTTCTACCAGAAAATTAAATAAAGGACTTTTATTTACATTATCTAAAAATAAGCTATTCCTAAACTAGCAGATGAAGCATGCATGCCCAAGAAATAATTCTGGAGTATTAGATTTAGACAACTACTATTAAGAATAAAATATTTTAATTTAAATTCTTCTTTTTTTTTTTGAAGCTGGATTTGTTGAGATAACAGAAAAGAACCCACAGTAGGAGGGGACCCGAGGGGGTGCCCTCTTTTTAAAAGTTGTTATTTTTTAGAGACAGGGTCTCAGTCTGTCACCCAGGCTGAAGTGTGGTGGTGATATCCTAGCACAGTGTAACCTTGAATTCCTGGGCTCAGGCAATTCTCCCACCTCAGCCTCCCAATTAGCTGAAACTGCCATAGCACTAATTTTTTTTTTTTGTAGAGATGGAGTCTGAAACTCTTGACCTCAAGTGATCCTCCCATCTTGGTCTCCCAAAGTGCTGGGATTACAGATGTGAGCCACCATGTCTGGCTTAAATTATTCTAAACAGAATAAAAATTATAGTTACAGATATTCCTTTAATAATAAGCATACAATTTTTTTCCATAAAACAAGTCTATGTAAATGGAAATTTAGTTATTTTAGATTAAAACATAGATTTATTAAAAATCAAAGTAAGCCGGGCTCGGTGGCTCAGTCTGTAATCCCAGCACTTTGGGAGGCTGAGGTGAGTGGACTGCCGGAGCCCATGGGTTCGGGACCCGCCTGGGCAACTTGGCGAAACTTCATCTCTACAATAAATCAAAAAATCAGCCGGGCGTGGTAGCGCGTGCCTGTAGTTCCAGCTACTTGGAAGGCTGAGGCGGAAGGATTGTCAGAATCCAGCAGGTCGAGGCTGCAGTGGCTAGGAGCATGCCACTGCAACCCAGTCTGGGCAACAGAGTGAAACCCTAACTCAAAACTAAAAAAAAAAAAAGAAAAGAAAAGAAAAAGAAACTTCAATTCAGTAAAAACAGGTTTAAGTACTTATCTAAACTTTAACAGACTAAAGCTCAAAACAAAAACTCAAAATGGGTAGGTCAGGGTGCTATTTAATAATGCCATGAATCAGCAGCTGCAGATCTAGTTTACAGCAGTTCTGAATGCACACGCAGTATTTTAGCAATAGAATAAACATAAATTAAAATGAATTTAGAGTACTTCCCTTGTTTTATACAAATAATATGGGAAGAGGGGGTCTTTAAAAACCACACCATTTGAAAATCTCACATCTAACAATTATAAACTTTAAAAACCAAATACAAAGATAAAATGTATCCTAACTTGCCCAGTATTTTATTGTTTAAGTGAAAGGAAAAGTGTATCTTTAGATACACACACACACAAGACTCCAAGTAAAACCTGTAAGGCTTACACAAAAAAACTAAGTCTACCAGTTGAACTGCTGTATGAAACACATAAATCAGATGTAGAAGAGGAAGGTGAATGACTAAAAATTTACGTAATAAAAATTTCTACACAGACCAATAAGAATGGCTTTTTTTTTTTGAGTTGGAGTTTTACTCCATCGCCCAGGCTGGAGTGCAGTGGCACGCTCATGGCCACCCCAGTATCAACCTGCTGGGCTCCAGCGATTCTTTCACCTCAGCCTTCCAAGTAGTCAGAACTATAGGTGTGCACTACCACACCTGGCTAATTTTTTATTTATTGTAGACTAGGTCTCACCAAGTTGCCCAAGCTGGTCTCGAACCCTTGGGCTCAGGCAATTCACTCGCCTCAGCCTCCCAAAGTGCTGGGATTATAGGCTGAGCCACCGAGCCCAGCCAATAAGAGTATTTGGTACAGAGCATCTAGGGGTAAAACAATACAAAATTATGAACAAGCTTGGCTCAAAAATATTCATGTATAATAACATAAAAATCAAATTCCAAAGCTATTTTTTGAATAAAATTTATTATGTGGATTTCATTTTCAGCAACTTATTTTCACAAAATAACAGTGAAGCAAGTGGGTAGAAAGCTTGAACACAGTGGTTGAAGTTTGATATCATTCTTTGATATAAAGAATGCAAAAGAGGAATGACCAAGTAAAAGTAGTGTAAGAAGCCCCAGGGCCCAAGCTTAGTGCTGAGATGTGAATTTGTGGTGGCACCAATACAAAAGTTACAGAATACTCTGCAGCAGTACTCAGCACAAAGTAGAGGGTACAGGAACAACAAAGGTTTGATTTAGTTTTAGGGTTGTGACAAGTGAAGGACACAGAGTTGAAGGCAATTATGAAAGTGATCTAGCATGATGTATCATGAAATCCAAGCTCAACAGGGAAGAAAAGGCAGGAGAGAGCTTAAAGAATGGCAGAAAGTGGAGGCTTAAAATGGACTGGTGGTAGTCAAAGAACAGTGTAAATGTGAATGAGACATGAATATGCTAGAAGGTTATATAACATCCTGAAAACGACTGGATTTCTGATGCTGAGAAATTCTGGGTTACACAAGGTTCACAGTGTTTCCAGGTTTTAGGTGGAAAGTGTCTAATGCAGGAGACTGGGTTATTAAAGTGATTTGTTCATGTGAACACATTATGTGATTAGACTGGGATGGGAAGAACAGAGAGTAAATCAAGTGCCCAAGTCTTAAATGAAAGCAGAGAAATGACTGGTAGTCAGAAGAAGATGGAGGCTCAAATCACAAGCAATCATGGCTTGTAAAGGGCTGAAGGGGGCTAGGACCATGACAAATCTTGCCTCCTGGCCCTATATTAGCAGGGTGAGAGACAGAAAGTCCTCTACAGAGGGAAAATAAAATCTTCTGGGAGAGCTAAGAAAATGGAAGAAGATGAAAGATTGTGCTGTCCCTGGCTCCAGAGCACATAATTTATGAGGAATGGTAACAAGAAAGGTCACAGGTATCAAAGTGGAGGAAAGTATGCCAATGAGAGTATGGAAGAAGACATTTAATGAACCTAACAAGATAAATTTAATTCTATGAAATAATGGAGTTCAACTGTGCTTGACACAGTTGAATCCTAAAATAAAGCACTTTTATGCAGAGTAATGATTTAATTTTTAATTAATCATGTGTCTAAATTTTTTATCTAAAGATGGTACATGGATGTACTAAAATTCCCCCAGATTGCTAATGCCTAACTTTGATTAGTGTTTGCAACTATTTCTGAAACATGATCGCTAAATTTTAGGGTCAATCAAAATTTTTCAATTTATTTCAAATCTAAGATATCTTCCTACTGAGAGCATATACCAATCTACTGCCATAATGTGAACTAGGTGGCTTCTTTCTGTTCCCTCACAAACAGTGTGATATATAATTATATGTAAGATGGAATATTATAAAAATTTTAAAAGGCTTCTCCAGTAATTTCAAATCAGAGGAAAAAAAAATGACTGAAATATGGCCAGAAATACAGGATCTAAATTCTTTCTGCTTTTATACTGAATAAGATATTTCAGACTAGAAATACTTGTACCCATTTTGCATTCCAAAAATATAAAGCTCATCCACTTGCATCACACCTAAATTAAACTACTTTAGAACAGACTCTTTTTTCAATCTCTTTCAAAATTCCTTTTTAAAGCCTTAAAAGGAAGTGCAACTGGAGAGTGGCATATATAACTGGTTTTGGCATCTAATATTAAATCATCGCTAGGGCCTGGTGTTTAACACATACTAAAAGTATTATAGAATTGCTATACTATGTGGAATATAAAATTTAGAGAATCTGTGACTTAAACAGTATCTATAAACCTGTTAAAGTTATTTTATTTTTTTGAGTCAGAGTCTCACTCTGTCACCCAGGCTGAAGTGCAGTGGCATATCACAGCTCACTGAGCCGCGACCTCCTGGGCTCAGGAGATCCTTCTGCCTCAATCTCCTGAGTAGGTGGAACTCCAGGCACGTGCCACCATGCCTGGCTATTTTTTGTAGACAAAAGGTCTCACTATGTTGCCCAGGATGGTCTCGAGCTCCTGAGCTCAAGTGATTCTCTGGCCTCGGACTCCCAAAGTACTGGGATTGTAGGTGTGAGCCACTGCACCCAGCCTTAAAGTGATTTTATAAAAATGCATTACTACAAAATATACCAGAAGAGTTAATTCTAGGCTTTCTTTTAATACCTTTCCAAATAAGTATACAGATTTCAAGAACAATTTAAATCTATAAACATACAGGTATAACAAAACTGAAGTGTCAAAAATAATTGAAACTTTTCAGACAAATCTTTAATTCTAATTATTACTACAAATGTTTTACAAGTAAATCTTCAAACAGAAATTCGGTTTTCTATTTCTTATATACATAGTATGTATATACATATATACATACTATATATATAGTACTAAACTGAATCTTTCACAAGCACTATAGATTTAACTTAAAAATAGTTAAATCAGTGATTATTTCAAAAAATTTAAATTATAATTATCAAAGATATTGCATTTGCTTTAACATTAAGTTTAAGAGTTTAGACTAAGAAAATAAAAAATGTTAAGGAGTACTAATAGAAAAAGCAGTTATGACCTCTACTTCAAAAGTCATTTTTAAAAGTCTTATTCAAAATAGTGTACTAGTTTAACAAATTAAAGAATATCCATATTACAGAATACTATATAGTCATTTAAATATTTTAGAGAGTATTTAATGAAATATGATATGGGAAAATACCCAAAATATATAACATGAGAACAGAAAATTACCTAGATAGTATGATTCTACTTTGGTGTAAAAATGTCTACCTTTTTGGAATTGAGAATAATTTCTATTTTATTCATTATTCTTTGCCGTTATATATGACTGTTATAATCAGAAATATATTAAAATAAAAAATCTTACCTGAAGGTACTAGAGAATCTTGTTCAATAATTCTTGCAGAAGCCAGATCACTAATAATATACTGCAACCTTAAATGTCTGAATACTGACACAAATGGTTTTCCTTGTTCAGTTTCAAGAAAGGTCATACCTTCAAAATCTATAAAAAACAGTTTAAGTTAAATAGCCATTCTTTTCAAAACTATTATTTTATTCCTGAGCGTTTTTATGGATGGGAACACGCAAACATCTGCTCAAATACAAATAAGCTAGTTTCAACGTTTTCAAGAATTTTATAAACCTCAGGTGTATGGATTAAAAACTTAGGGAGATTTTTTTAAGAGCTCCAGGAAATTAATTTTATCCTAATTAGAGCCCTGGGCTGGGAATTCAGCTATATGTATGTTTCTGGAGTTTGGAGTTTATAATGCAGCAAGGCGGAAGAGGAAGGCTTGAGAAATGTACTTAGACTCTCTTTCTAGAATCCTCCTCCCAGGAACTGAACACTCCGGTGAAACTCCAGAGCCCAAAAGCCTCACTCTAGGGTCTTCACAAGATACACAGGATATGGAATATATCTTAGAATTCTTCTAACTTATGCTTCAGCTACATGTAAGCTATATGTAATGAACACTAGTTATCTTAATTCTTCATTAAGACATAAAATAAGGGCTGGTCTTGGTGGCTCAGCCTGTAATTCCAGCACTTTGGGAGGCCAAGGTGAGTGGATTGCCTGAACCCAAGGGATTAAGACCAGCCTGGGCAACTCGGCGAGACCTTGTTTCTACAATAAATAAATTAGCCGGACATGGTAGCACACGCCTATAGTTCCGGCTACGTGGAAGGCTGAGGTGGAAAGATTGCTAGAGCCCAGCAGGTGGACGCTGGGATGGCCATGAATGTGCCACTGCACTCCAGCCTGGGCGACAGAGGTGAGACTCCGACTCAAAAAAAAGATACAAAATAAGAAAGATATTGTAGCCATAGATTTGTAACACCTGGGTAGTATTAATGTATTAAAATAATTCATTTATAAATTATATGAATAATTTTCTTTAAGGGAGAATTTAAGGTTATTGCTAAAAATTACTCTCAGTTGCATTCCAATGTGCTTTCATGAGTGGGAAGAAAACAACTAGTTATTACTATCAAACAGGTATTAGTGCATAAGCCCTAGTCTAAGTTGCTATTCAGGATAAGGAAAAAAAAAGATGAGAGCTGCCATTATCAACTATTATGTCTCAAACCATGCTTCACATGGAACACAGGTTTTATGTGAATCAGAAAGGTGTCCCCACAGAAATAATTTTTTCCTGAAAATTGTAAAAAGACAGTCAAGTTAATGAAAAGAGTTTTCACAATTTTCCTTTTTGTAGCATATATTTTTTGTATTCCTTTGGCACCTGCCCAAAAGTCAAGCAAAATAAACAAGAAAGCAGTGCACTCATTAAAAAATTAATAGCTAACATTACTTATTTATACAACAGGCATGTGATTGTGAATTTATATCTCTTGTCCTTTTTAAAAACAAAATAATAACACTGCTCAAGCTCATATGTTGAATTAAATTTATCAATCTCATGGAGTGTATTGAGAATACTATTATGTTCTTACAAGTGTTCTGTCATACATGAATAAGTTGTAAAAATAGAATTCTTGATTGTCTCGTAGAAATTTGATAATTTTCCCATGAAGCCTTTTCTTCAAGGTTGTAGAAGAAATTGACTAGTTTACTATTGTAAGAACTCATAGAATCTAAAAAGTGTTTTAAAGTTTCTTTCTGGCAAACATGTGGCTATACTAATTCCATCAGCAAGTCCTAGGAATAACCGTATAGAAAACTTTCTAAATTTCTATTGTTTCTTGTAGTCCTGACACATATATACCTAAAAAGTCAAATAAGTAAGAAAACTTAAAATATACCAAAATGTAATGAGTGAGGGGACCACAAGTGATTTTTTGATCCTATTTCCTTATATATGCATTTCCTTTATAATTTTAAAATTGTTTGAAATGATCCTATAAAGTCCTCACAGAAAAACAAAGGCATTAGACATACATTTTGCTTTGTGCAATAAATTTCTCCTGAAAAGTTACCTTAGACTGTATACTTTTACATATAGGGGCTGGGGCAGAAAGCCAAAAGGGGAAAACCAGAAGTGGACCACAGCTTCCTATTCTGGTTTCTTTCACTTAGGCTACAGACTAATTTCTCCTTTAATAGATTTATGTGGTTGATTCATATGGAGTACAAATGAGCATGAGGTTATGTCAACATTTACCTACCTGTTTGTTTCTACTGAGTCTCTTTTTTTTTTGAGTTTTATAATATTTTATTATCAAAGAAACAGCTGCTTTAATGTGTCTCTCCTGCAGCTGTTAAATTTTTTTTTTTTTTTGAGGCAGGGTCTTACTCTGTCTCCCAGGCTGATGTACAGTGGTGCAGTCATAGTCCACTGCAGCTTCAACCACCTGGCCTCAAGTAATCCTCCCACCTCGGCCTCCCGCGTAGCTAGGACTACAGGAAGGAACCACTACACCCAGCTAATTTTTCTATTTTTGGTAGGGATGGGGTCTCACTGTGTTGTCTAGGTTGGTCTCAAACTCTGGGGCTCAAGCAATCCTCCCACCTCGACCTCCCAAAGTACTGGGATTACAGGCATGAGCCACCACACCTAGCTCCCTTTGTCTCTTTAACTTCTCCACCCTCCTTGTCTTTTTCAGTTTTTCACTCTCTCCTTGTTTTTTAAATTCCCTCCTCTATTTTGCTCTGCTATAATTTCCTTAATGTTCCTTTAATTGCCATCATGTAATAGTAAAGTATAACTTAAGAGATAAGTTTAGTATTTTGGTCTTCAACTAAATCAAATTAGATTTTATTAACATGGTTCTTTACACATCTGACTACATAAAATAAGTCTACACAGTATATTTAAACAAGACATAAAGAACACTAAATTTAAAAATTAATAACATCTATTTAACAAAAGACATCTTTAATAAAGTTAAAAGGCTAGGTGTCTCATGCCTGTATTCCCAATACTTTGGGAGGCTGAGGCAGGAGGACTGCTTCACCCCAGAAGTCTGAGACCAGACTAGGCAACATAGTGAGACCTCGTCTCTACAAAAAAAATCAGCCGGGCTTGGCTGCACGCTCCTGAGTAGTCCTAGCTACTCAGGGGGCTGAGGTGGAAGGACCACCTCACCTCAACCCAGAATGTCAAGGTTGCAGTAAACCATGATTGTGCCACTGTACTCCAGCCTGGACGCCAGAGTAAGATCCCAACTAAAAAAAAAAAGATAAACTACAAACTGTAAGATAAGTGCAAAGCATATATATGACAAAGGGCTGACTATCAAGAATATATGAAGAATGCCCACAAATCATTAAGACAAATCCTATATTAAAATAGGAGAAAGACCTGAACCGACATTTCACAGAAAATGAAACATATGGCCAGGAAACACCTCAAGGCCTGTTTAATGTCTTTAGTTATAAAGGAAATGAAAATTAAGACCACAATATGAAGTAGTTCCATAACAACTAAAACAAAATGATACCCTATCCAGGGGTATGCTGCAGCTGGCACCTGCTGGCTCACAGGAGCTGACTGTGCATCTTTTTCCAACTATGCATTCAGTGAGGTTGGGCTGGTAGCTTAAATTCAGCCACAGTGGGAGAATTTGTACCACCGAGATTTAAAAATGCTACAAATCAGGGGTTATTTTTTCAGAGGATCAGCTTATTAGCACACTACTATGTTACGTATGTTAAGACATATATGCATAATGCAGTAATATTTTTTCTAAGAATAATAATAATACAGACAAAATTCAAAGTCATGGTTGAGGAAAGGCAGAGGTACACCACAGAAAAGAAATACATGAGTAAACTGAAAGTTATTAATATTCCAGTACTTGAAGGTTAGTTCACAGAGGTTCAACATATTAAAAATAAGTCTTCAAGACTTCTCTAAATACCTCATTCAAGAAGCATCCTTGATTCCAAATACAGGTTACATGCTCCTTCTATGTTCATTCCTCAAAATTTAGAAATAAGTTTTTTAAAAAAAGCATAAAAGGTGGCCATATATGGACCAAGAATGACAATAAACTAAGAAAACCATGGGTGAGTGCAGGGGGAAAAAAAGAAAGAAAATCTTGAGCTAAGGATTATGATTTATCTACTACTTTGCATCTGAGGGACCATTAAAATTTTTTTTCTAGATCTGTTTTAGCAAAGTAAAAAATAAATACATTGCATGCTCCCCTCTGCTCAGATAAGACCTTATAACAATTGACCTTAACCAATTTTAAATTAACTCTCCACTGAGAATATGATGAAAGATATGGAAGCTCTACCCACCTTCTCAAAGTCATGCAGCAGGCATGCATGCATGTGAACACACACACACACACACATACACACACACAAAATCAAGTTCTGCATCCACTTTTGGGGGTTAGTGATACATGGAATCCTACCCATGGCCCTCATGTTAAGAACTGCTGCCTAATAGGGTAGAGTTTGTTAGGGAAAATTCAATATGATCAAACAGACAAATGCAGTTCAAGATCTTATGATGATAAAATGAAAAAAACAACAGTTTTGGAGGGATAAGAGTATGGCAATAGCTTAAGCAGTAATAATTCAGATAATAAGAAGTATGATACTTTTCTTATCTAGCCTCAGTTTTCTCACCATAAGTGAAGAGCTGAAATAGATAAAAGCTCTACTATTAAGTCCATAACAAAGTCAGGGTCTGATTTTAATAGATTTCCTTAAAAAAAATTTTTCTAAAAAATTTAAGGCATACCTCTTTTCCGCTTAGAAAACCAGACATCTGTTTCCGTCAAAAGCTGTTTTAAAGACCCATTCCAAGAAGGCACAAGTTGAAGGAACATCCACTAGGTTAAAAAAAATTGAGAAAAAAACTATAGAACTTCATTTTATGATTTTACATTTTTTAATTGCTTCCATTTTAAAAAATTTGATTTCCATTTTATAAGAAATTGAAAGAATGAGGTAGAACTATTAGATGAGATCCTTACAAACTTTAAATTTATCACGGTACAAATCATAGTCCAGTGACAAACACTGGATGTGTGTGTGGGATGGAGCAAGTGAATCCCTGAGAAGTATTTATGGGCACAAACACACTGTAGATTATAATGTTAAAAAGGTAAACGTTTAATGTATATATTACATTAGTAGTTTTATACAAATTTATTCTACTCACCAATTAACAACTCAATTTCACTAACTACTATGTGAGAGCATAAAAGTAATAAATTAAACATGGGAAAAAGGAGTTTGTCTTATTGTTACTGAGATAATTTGCAGAGTGCGTAAGAGCAAGGATTTTAAATCCTAGACCTACCACTTAATAGCTGGGCAAACTACCTAATTTCTCTTGGTCTTAATTTCTTCATTTGTAAAATGAGCTTTAAAATGTCTACTTCATAAGACACTGAAAGAATCAATATACGTAAATACCTAGAATGGTGCATGGCATATAGTAAGCACCTTGTAAGTATTAGTGCTTACCATTACTGGCATAAAAGCAGTTATAACAACAGGAAAGAGTGCTACTGTGCTACTGTGATGCAGAGATAGAAACAAGTTCTCTACCACTCTTCTAAAGACTGGATAGCCCAGGGAGGCCCAAACTTAACCTGCATGATGACCATTTACATACCTAATACTGTGTTGTATACCGCATCTTTAAAATTAAAAAAGATTGGATAGACCAGATACTAAGCTTCCTTGAAGCAAAATAGTAATAAAATCTCATCTCTACCATAAAAACAAATAATCCCAAAGATATGTCTCATTCCCAGGTTTCACAACCATGTTAAATGCAGCACTCTGTTCTGGGGATAAAAGGCTAAAGGAAAGATTATGTAGTGGGAAGATGGCAATGGTCTCTGCCTAAGACTCCTCAGACCTGGTCTCTGCCTCAAGTCTGCCACTTAGCAATTGTAAGAATTCTGAGTTTTACTCTCTATGGTAAAATAATAATAGCTGGTTTGTGTCTTTAAATAGCTGTGAAAATAAAATTAGATTGAAAAATGTTAAAACTTTTCAAAAGGACGAAGTAAAACATATACCAGATGTGCAAACAGGTCATTAAAAGAAGAACGTTGGCCAGGCTTGGTGGCTCAGCCTGTAATCCCAGCACTTTGGGAGGCCGAGGCGAGTGGATTGCCTGAGCCCATGGGTTCAAGACAAGTCTGGGCAACTTGGCAAGACCTCGTCTCTACAATAAATCAAAAATTAGCCAGGCATGGCAGCACGAGACTGTAGTTCCGGCTACTTGGAAAGCTGAGGTAGAAGGATCGTCGGAGCCCAGCGGGTCGATGCTGGGGTGGCCATGAGTATGCCATTGCACTTCAGCCTGGGTGACACAGTGAGACTCCAACTCAAAAATAAAAAATAAAAAGATACAAGAATATCAACACTTTCTAAAAAAAGTATGTGTAAAAATTCCATCATAAAATGATTAACTAAAGATCAACTTTGAAAACATTGCTGAAAATCATATAAAACGGTTCTAATGATAATACAATAACATGTTTGTTGTTGAAGAAAAATCTGGGAAAGAATAGAAAAGTATTTCTAAAATAGAAGAGTACATAGAATAAAGTTAAAAATCACTCACAATACCAAATCCCAAAATATAAAGACTTTTTAATGCCTTGATATAGTTCCTTTTCTTACATTTTCAACCATCCTTTTATCAGTATACACTTGCTATTTCCAGTTTTTCACTATTACAAGCAATGCTGAGGTGACATCCTTGCATGTATCATATGTCAGTACCTTTTTTAGTGCTGTGTATACATCCATTTCCACTTGCATCACAAATAAGTTAGATGAACCAATGAGCTGTTTCATAACATTTATACTGAAAAAGAAAATGAAGGGAGTGAGCACAGGTTTCATGCATAGGCTAAAGGATCCCTTGGAACTAAAAACTGTCTTTCTTGTCAAAAGAAAATATGGAATTAAAAATGACAGCAGGTTTTTTGCCTAAGACAAAGAATCTTAGGAAACAATCTCTTTGGATACAAGCATACTTTTAGTTCAGATGGTGTACTGTGAAAGATATTTTTTCCACACTGATAGGGAAACAAATTTTAAAAAGAGCTTTGATCTGCTGATTAATCAAGTCAAAGCAAGGTCCCAATAAGATAACTTTTACTCTGCTCGGATAATGTAGCAGCCTTCCTTTCTTGCCTTCCACCGCCCCACTTCTATGGTTGGATAAAAAAGACACTTGTCAAGCCGGGCTCGGTGGCTCAGCCTGTAATCCCAGCACTTTGGGAGGCTGAGGTGAGTGGATTGCCTGAGCCCGCGGGTTCGAGACCCGCCTGGGCAACTTGGCAAGACCTCTTCTCTACAATAAATAATAATAATAAAAAAATTAGCCGGGCGTGGTAGCGCATGCCTGTAGTTCTGGCTACTTGAAAGGCTGAGGCGGAAGGATCGCTGGAGCCCAGCAGGTCGGGAGCGGCCACTGCACTCCAGTCTGGGTGACAGAGTGAGACTCCAACTCAAAAAAAAACCCAACAACAAACAAAAAGACACTTGTCAAATTCACTAAAACAGCTGTATCTGCAAAGTAATCTTTAACCTCTAAGCTTAAGAGACTGCTTAGTCATAAAGTATGTTTTTATGCTATGTTTTTACTCAAGAGAATAAGATCAAGAAATACGTGTTAGTTTATATTTAGAGTAAAAAATGATAACACTGGTTGTTTGTTTTACGTTCCTTTCCTTAAGGCATAAAAAGCCAAGGAAGCTTCTGGGTTTTTAAGATGAACACTATAATTCAGTTTCCTTTTGAAAAAGCGCAATGAGAAATTGCAGTCTTCCTTCTGTACCTGTGGGGCACTGGTTTCAGGAACCATCTCAGATACCAACATCCTCGATGCTCAAGTCCCTTATATAAAATGGTATAGTACCTGCATATAACCTATGCACATCCTTCTATACACTTTAAATCATCTCTAGACATATTTATAGTACCTAATATAAATGCTACTAAAATGGTTATACTATATTGTTTTTTTAATTTGTATTATTTTTATGGTTTTTTTTTTTTCTCCCCCAAAGATTTTCAACTGGCAGTTGGGTGAATAAACGAATGCAGAATCCAAGGATACAAAGGGCTGACTGCATAAAAGAGAAAGAAATTAAAGTGTTTCCAATAATTTTCTTTTTTCTTTTCTTCAACTGCAAGTATCAGTTTCTAATGACTTTCAAACCAAATATACTGCAGAGATTTATTTATGCCTTGGCATCACTAGGTGATAAATGCTTCTCAAACTTTTCTACCAAGTTATCTCTTAAGGGCAGAAGAAAGAAAAGAACTTAAGAACCTAGGAGGTGGTCTAGTCATAAAAAGCAACATTTCAGCAGGGCTCGGTGGCTCAGCCTGTAATCCCGTGCTTTGGGAGGCCGAGGTGAGTGAATTGCCTGAGCCCGTGAGTTCGAGACCCGCCTAGGCAACTTGGTGAGACCTCATCTCTACAATAAATCAAAAAATCAGCCAGGCATGGTAGCGCGCGCCTGTAGTTCTAGCTACGTGGAAGGCTGAGGCAGAAGGATCGCCGGAGCACAGCAGGTCGAGGCTGAGGTGACTGGGAGTGGCCACTGCATTCCAGTCTGGGTGACTGAGTGAGACTCCAACTCAAAAAAAAAAAAAAAAAAAAGCAACATTTCTATAAATTGTGTTTTATCTTGAGAATTCAAGAAAATTTGAATTCCTTCTAGTCCAAAATGTATTTAAATGTAAAAATGTTTACCCTTCTCTCACCTCCCCCCCAAACTCAGTAAAACTGACATCCTAGGAAGCTGTGCCATGTGAGACTCCAACTCAAACAAAAAACAAACAAACAAAAAAACCAAAAGAAGTTCATTTCCACCCCGAATTTCTCAGACCCATCACAGATACCTTAGCCCTATTCCTACAAATGAGCTCCTTGGACCGGGTATGATGGCTCATGCCTGTAATCCCAGCACTTTGGAGGGCTGAGGTAAGAGGATTGATTTCCTGAGCTTAGGGGTTCAAGACCAGCCTGGGCAACTTGGTGTGACCTCATCTCTACAATAAATCAAAAAATTAGCCGGGTGTGGTGGCACGTGCATGTAGTTCCAGCTACTTGGAAGGCTGAGGTGGAAGGATCACCTGAGCCCAGGAGGTTGAGGCTGCAGTGGCAATGAGCATGCCACTGCACTCCAGCCTGGGCAACGGAGTGAGACTCCAACTCAAAAAAAGGTAGATGTAATATTCATTACATCATTCACAACAAAGAAAATAAATTTGTGTAACATTTCTTCAGTTTATAGATGTAGTCAAGACCTTTAAATTGTTCGCTTTTTTATAAGTAATATATTTTTATCGTGTACTTTAATGAAAAAAATATTTTAGGATGATCAATTATAAAGTTATTTGAAATTCAAATACCTGAGTTCTTTTAAAAGTTCAACATTCTGGTGAGTCATCAAATTGTTCAATAGCCATTCAAGGCACCTGAAATTAAAACATGTAATTATTACATTATATATCATATATTTATAACTTATCAAGTAGGACTTACAGTTAAAACAAAAACAGAATATTAATCTTGCTAGAACATGCTCAAAATATTTAGTTAACAACTGAAATTTTAGTATTATTTTTGTCAGTGGTTAATAAGAGCATTTCTAATTTTAAAAAAATTCATTTCAAGTTTGTGTTAAAAGGTTTATGAAGGGATTTGCTTGCTTCTATAACCTTTTTTAAAATCTGAAAATGAGTACCGAAATTCTCAAGAGGTAAAAAGACTACCAGTGTTTCCGACCATATAATGTCTATGTGTACTTAAATAATTTTAATAGAAGATGTACTATAGTGACCACAGTTTTTTTTTAATAAGCATATATATAACCCACCCACAGTCACTTACAAAGACAACACTTTTGAGGAATTTACTAATTAGTTCAAAAGTTAAAAGGGGCTTTTTATTTAACAAAATTCCATTACCCTATTTTTCCTTAATTATTTCGTTCTTCTAGCTATACATTCTCTTAAGAAACCAAATTCCTAATAGTGGGAGAGGAGGAAAAACAAGAAAGGTAACTCACTTTTTCTTTACAGAATCTAATCCATAGGTCCCTGCTGATGTGTAATAGCCACATACAGTTTTCACATTAATTGTTTCCTTCATTGTCTCACCACACTGCTGTATTAAACCATCCTGTAAATATAAATAAGCACTGGAAAGGCCCATTTCACATGGGAAAAATTAGCTGATATGCGCTTTTACATATTAAAAAGTTAAAAAAAAAAAAGAAAAGAAAAAGGAAGAAAGAAAAGAAAAGAAAGAAAACTCAATAAGTGCAGTAAGCCTACATTTAAAAAAATAAGTCCAATAAAAATACTGAAAAAGAAATCCAGCAAGTATTCAACTAAATACTTGAAACTTAAAAATGGAAGGGAGGAAGCAGTTAGGTTGAGTTGAATATTATTCTTTGGCTTTTCTATCCTTCCCCTCTCTGGGACTTCGGCAAATTTCTTTAGCAGCATTTTGTCTGTTTTGCCTATTTTTTTAAAATTAAAAACTCTTTATATAGTTGACTAACCAGGTGATGGGCTTGACAAGTAAACAATATGAATTATCAAAAAGTGCTTATTAAAGTTTAAAATGCCTCTCAATAACTAAGAAAGGCACCTAAAACAAGTACATTATTGTTTTAAATGGTTTACATTTGAATTTAATCTAAAATCTTTTTACAAGTGTTAAATGCATTAACTTTAATATATGGAAAGAATACTATCATTTTTCATTTAAATTTCTGAAATATATTCATCATGCAAATGAATTAAAGAGTTAGTAAATCATAAAACTAATGCAGAAGTGAATTTGGAACAAAACCAAAAGGACCAAAGTTAGAAAAGAAAGCATACTTATTAGAAAGAAGTATTGGCAGGATCAAAACATTTAAAAAAACCAAATCATCTCAGTCAAATACTTCAAATGAACCAGTACATAAATGCCACATAAAGGAAACTTAATTTTTTTAAAAGATTAAGACACTGACTACATTAGGATTTTAAACTTACTGGAAAGTCATTCTAGACTCCTCCCCTATCTTCTTAGCATCTCGTCTGTCATCAAGTCCAGTGGATTACCCCTGCTTAATCTCTCTGGTGTGCATTTTTCCCTCTCTATGCTTATTGCCACTACCCTAATTTAGACCCTCACTGGACTACCACAACAGGTTTCTGTCTCTGATGTTGTACCCGTCTTTCCTTCAGTCTGTCTTTCACATTGCTACTGAAGTATTCTTTCTAAAGCATAATTATTTACTCTGATTAAAATGTTCCAAAGGCTAAACTTCTTAGCAATGTATAGAGACCTTTATGATCTGGCTTCTGCCTCCCTTTTCTCCAACCCTTATATTCATGCTAGAGTCATGTTCCTGTTACATCCCTAATCCCTCACTGTTCACGTCTCTAGGTTTTGTTTACTCTGTTCCCTCTGTCTGAAGTACTCTTCCTTCCTCACTCTTCTTACTCTGCAAAATAAGCAGACTTTCAACTTTCAAAACTCAGTCTGGAGATGTAACTTTCTCCTGTGACACCACCAGGTTGAAGCCCCTCATTTATGCACCCATTTAATCCTACAGGATGTTTATTATCTATCAACCTTCTCTCCCCACCTCCAGACACACAGACAGACACACACACACACACACACACACACACACACACACACAATAGTGTGAGCTTTTTGAAGGTAGGGGCTACATCTCAATTTACCTTAGGATTTCTTTTTTTTAAATTGAAGTCTCACTCTGTCGCCCAGGCTGGAGTGCAGTGCAACGCTCATGGCTACTGCAGCCTCAACCTCCTGGCTCAGGTGATCCTCCTTCTGCCTTAGCTTTCCAAGAAGCTTCCATTTTAAATGATTTATAACAAATGGCATATTTGTACATTTTACTTTTATTTAAAAACTGTAAAAGGCTAAGCTTTATTTTTATTTTTGAAATAGATACTTTGAAACAAAGATACCAATTTAATCCTTTCTTTGAATAATATGCATACTTACCAACTGCAGCATACTTGCTGCTGCCAAAATGGCAATAACTCGGCTGGGCTTTATTAAGACATCATCTCGATACAGTGAACCAAATGCAACCTGCAGTGCTGAAAGCAAAGGTACACACGAATAATAAAATAATAGCTATTAAAAGTATTACAAAAAAACAATGACTTTCACACACAAAGACATCTGTCTAAATCTGATATCTACATAAAAGGAAAAGAGAAGTATCACTAGTTAAAATGTTAGTAATGGTTACTGATCAACAATGCTCACTGAACAACAATGTAAATTTCTCTTAATTCTACCCATCTAGCTGCACTCTTATAACATCTAATCTTGACATTGATTCATGGTCAAAGAAGAAGTTTTGGAAGAAGTTTTATAAGATACTTCTGAGTAGACTAATCATTAAGTCCAAGGACGCAAACTCAATAATAACCCTAGCCCTGATGCTTTCAGTACTTCACCACTGGGGAATGTGGTACAGCTGCTGGTCCTGTCTATGCCACACTCATGCCCAGCCCCCACACTGATCTATGCCTGTCCATCCTTCTCTCTGCTGCCACTTTCATGAAGGCACCACATGGTTTGCTTTGCAAATATTCCTTAACTTTTCTCTTTGCCTGTGGGTTGGGTACCGTGTACTTCCATGAGAGTGATCAATAAGGGGAGCAGAAAGAGCACTGGAACAGGAATTAGGAGAGCTACAGTCTCATGCAGGCTCACTAAACTGCTCTGAGATCCAAAGTAAGTCTTTTAAATCCTCTGGGCTTTAGCTTCCTCAGCTAAGGATTCTTATAGCTCTAAAACAATGTTGATTACATGATTCACACCTTTGTTGTTCCCAGAAAAAAAATGTTCACATGGGGAATAGTAAACGAGTATTACCAAGTTTTCTATGTTTTTTGTTTTTTTTTTTTGAGTTGGAGTCTCACTCTATCACCCAGACTGGAGTGTGGTGGCACAGTCCCGGCCACCACAGCCTCGAGCTGCTGGGCTCCAGCGATCCTTCTGCCTCAGCCTTCCAAGTAGCTGGTACTACAGGTGTGCACTACCACGCCCGGCTAATTTTTTGATTTATTGTAGAGATGAGGTCTCGCCAAGTTGCCCAGGTGGGTCTCGATCCCGCGGGTTCAGGCAATCCACTCACCTCAGCCTCCCAAAGCACAGAATTACAGGCTGAGCCACCAAGCCTGGTTATGTTTTTTTTTTTAAACTCAAACTTTTCTTTCTTTCACCTTACATCTTCCAAATCCCAGGCAGACATATGTACAAAAACAGAGTGACTAAATAGATTAGGGACACGACATACAGAACTAATAAACTACAGAATAAATCAATATAAAATTATCACCTAGGCATGTTAAGTGGAGAATTTTTCTAGACTACAAAGAAGAAAATGTTTTCTACTCAAAGAATAAGATTATCGTTTTATGATTTTTGCAAAGTAGTAATTATGATGGTGGTTACCTTCTATATCAATATTCTGGTCAGGAATCTCCAGTTCAATAATATTCATGCTGGATTCTTTCCAAGAACCACTAAACATACTAGAAAAGTAGCCAGACTTTTAGGGAAAAAAAAAGAAGGGGCAATGATTACTATTAAGTACTTTCTGAGTCTTCCAAACAACTTTCCCATTTCTAACTCCAAGCAACCATTCTATCAAAATGAATCCATTATGTTATTTCAAAAGCAAAAGAACTGCCAAACATGTTTATAGGAGGAAAAAAATTAAGATAAGGACACTATTAGGTATATCAAAATTTGCTTTCAGTTTAGTACTATTTTAACAAAAACTAAACCAAATTCGTATATTACTATCTAAACTCAATTCCTATTTGAATCTGGGTAACTTTTTTACTTAGTTAAAACAGTGTCCGAGTACATTACATTTTTGTTTTCCTTCTCAATGAGGTTCTACATTCAAGCTTAGAAACTTTCATACATTTAAGTATCTCTCACAAACATATGACAGCACACAAAGTGAAAACATAACGATGTACTAAGGCGGCTAGGAGAGGAGGCTAAAAGTACTCAAACTGAGATCCTTGCTGTATACCTCAATGGCTATAAAGGGTCCAGAACAGTCCCAAGTCATTAATAACAAGATAATCCCCAAAGAAAATAGGGAAAATACAAATTTTAATTTAATCTAACAAAATTCTAGAACGAGCCTGAATTCTTGGAAAGGAACTAGAATGGATCGAGTCTTTAGTTTCCTTCCAGATAATTTCCTAACTTTGGAATGGATCAGATATTACTAATTTATTTTTAAAAGTTTACTGAGTATTTAGTATGTAGAAGGCACCACAAATACAGCAACAAACATAACAGACATTGTTTCTATCCTCAGGGGGTTTCTATTTTATCTTGAACTGTCAGTCAGTCCAAATTCCATGAGAGGTAGTTTTAAAAGAGGCATTCTCATCCTCAAGTTCACAAAACTGCTTTTAGAAATTAAAAGAATTTTACATGGATCATATCTTGAAGTTAAGACCAATATTCTGATATATTCTCTGGGCTATACACTTCAAGCCAAAGTAAATTTGTTCAAAAATACATTTTAAAACATGATTAAAATGTTAGAGAAATTCCTTTTCAAGTGTTCTTACTGAAAAAATTTTACACTATCTGTATACTGCCTATAATGTGTTACCGCCTTACTAGTAATTATTCCCAAATGGTAAGATGAAAAACATAAGCTCCAAAGGATAAGAATTGATTATGGTAGAAGAATGCCCAGCATACAGATTTGATGAAAGAATACATGAATAAAATATCTGAGCCATTACAGCAACATTTTATTCTATTTGAAAGTTCTAAATCTTTAAAAGGTAGTGTCAGGTAGTAACATTTTCAGTACAGAACTCAAACAGGTACACTAGCTAAATGACTTAGCTTATATACTTTTTTGGTCTTTTCTTTAACTGGATTTTCCAAGAGATAAGGAAGAGTATGTGTCAAGAACTTTCCATTCACATTCAACCTGAACTACAAAGGAACATTTCAGATTAATTTATTCAATCATACGCAGCTGGGCACGATGGCTCACACCTGTAATCCCAGCACTTTTGGAGACCAAGGCAGGAGGGTTGCTTGAGCCCAGGAGTCCGAGACTAGGCTGAGCAACATAGCAAGACCTTGTCTCTACAAAAAAATTTAAAAATTAGCTGAGTGTGGTGGCACGTGCCTGTGGCCCCAGCTACTCAGGGGGCTGAGGTGAAAGGGTCATCTGAGCCCAGGAGGTCAAGTCTGCAGTGAGCCACGATTGTGCCACTACTCTCCAGACTGGGCAACAGGGTGAGACCCAGAATCAAAAAAAAAAAAAAAAAATCATATGCAAAATAAATGTAACAATCATAATTTTAATGTAAAACATTTTCCCCCTAACTTTTTCTCTTTTATCAACAGAAGGCACCAATAAGCACCTTGTTGAAGTACTGACAAAGAGGTAATGCTAGGCTAGTACTATATAACACTGAAATCTCAAAATCTATTTCTAGACCAAACTAAGTTTTTGCTAACAATATATGCCATTTTTCTTTTTCTTTTCTTTTTTTTTTGAGTTGGAGTCTCACTCCATTGCCCAGGCTGGAGTGAATGGCATGTTGCAGTTGCATACTCATGGCCACCCCAGTGTCAACCCGCTGGGCTCAGGTGATCCTTCCTCCTCAGTCTTCCAAGTGGCCAGCACTACAGGCACGCACTACTACGCCCAGCTGATTTTTTGATATATTGTAGAGATGCATTCTTGCCAAGTTGTCCAGGCTGGTCCCGAATCCATAGATTCAGGCAATCCTCTCACCTCGGCCATTTTTCTAATAATACACACTTTTTATTAAATGAGAAGACTTAACCACTACAGTCCATGCAAACGATTATTGTGAAATTCAGTCAGAGAGAATATGACTTAAGATTTTTTTTTTAAGAGACTACCCTGGTTACTCAAATAGAAAAATAAAATACTTACTTGACATAAATATATTTTGTGTAAGTTCCACTCTTCTCCTAGAGCACAAATCTTAATGTCACTATTTTCACCATTCAAAAATAATGTTTGATAAATATATTTGGATGTACTCTTTAATTTTTTCCTGTTAAAAGAAAAACAAAAGTTAGGTATTTATATAGAACTGAATGCTTACTGATTTTACATATATCTCAAAATACTCCTTCTGTTCAATTTCTTACTTTCTTTTTCTTTTTTTTTTAAAGACAAGGTTTTACTCTGTTGCCCAGGCTGGAATGCAGTAGCACGATCATAGCTCACTGCAGCCTCAAGCTCCTGAGATCAAGTGATCCTCCTGCTTTAGCCTCCTTGGTAGCTAGGACTACAGGCACATGCCACTACATCTGGCCAATTTTTCTTATATTTTTTATAGAGATCAAGTCTTGCTTTGTTACCCAGGCTGCTCTCAAGTGCTTAGCCTCAAGCGATCCTCCTGCCTCAGCCTCCCAAGGTGTTGGGATTACAGGAGTGAGCCACTGCACCCAGTTCAATTTCCTTTTTTAATTTTTTATTGTAGAGACGGGTCTTGTTATGTTGTGCAAGATGGTCTCTAACTCCTGGCCTCAAGTGATCCTCCTGCCTCAGTTTCCCAAAGTGCTGGGATTACAGGCATGAGTCACCGCGCCCCACTCAATTTCTATTAAGCAGAGTCAATTTACCTGTGTTAAAAGGATGGGGATATTATATATTCAAATTTATTCATATCTAAGAGAGTACATAAGAAATAATAACAGTAATCTTGGGGATACTCTATTCACAGGAGATGACAGTGGACAGATAGGGTAACATGGGAGGGAGACCTTTCACTATACACTTTTAGCAATTATTAAACTAATATAATTACTTATTCAGTAAATTAAGAAGATAAACAGCATAGCTTTTTTTAAAAATTTCCTTACTTAGAAACCAGCACTATGAAGGATGTCAGTATAATTCCAACAATCTGCTATGCAACTAGAAAATGGAGAACAACAGTAAAAATTTCACCTACTCAGGTAATTTTTAAAATAACTTACATTTAATCTTATTTTGGTACCAAGCTATTCTTAAAATGTGCTCCCCCCACTGGACAAATGGTTTGCAGTCTCAGATCAAAGGTTTTCAAAACTGCTCCAAACAGAAGAGTTTTAGGGGCCACCCGGGAGAGCTGAGCGAGGGACTCTGGGCAGCTCACCGGACCTCCACCAGAGCAGCCCCACCTACTATCTCTGTGAACACACTGGATTTCCGCATCAGATTAAATTGAAAGGAAGAATGGACTAAAAAAGGTTTGAAAATCACTGCTCAAGATGATACATAAGAAAAGGCCCAATAAAAATTTTTTAAAAAGACACACCTATCACCTTGGAAATGCAAAAGGATTTTAGATTCCGGTGCCAGAAAAAGAAGACACAGTCCAGACTTTTAAAAATTATTATACTATACCACAAAGGCTAATAAACTATTACAATACAATTTTTTTTTTAAAAGGCCCTAGACAGAGGCTGATCAATATCTTTTAAATTCCTGTCCAATTCTGACAGATTTCCTAGCAGATAAAACTTTTAAATTGGCCAGGGTCGGTGGCTCAGCCTGTAATCCCAGCACTTTGGGAGGCTGAGGCAAGTGGATGGCCTGAGCCCACGGGTTCAAGACCTACCCGGGCAACTTGGTGAGACCTCATCTCTACAATAAATAAAAAAAAATTAGCCGGCTGTGGTAGCATGCACCTGTAGTTTCAGCTACGTGGAAGGCTGAGGCGGAAGAATTGCCGAAGCCCAGCAGGTTGAGGCTGCGGTGGCTGGAAGTGCGCCACTGCACTTCAGTCTGGGCGACAGCTCAAAAAAACCCCAAAAAACACCAAACACTTTTAAATCTCTATTTTAAAATGAAGTAATTGTTTCAGATGGTGTCTTGAACCAGTGTATTTTACCTCTTCCCAATGGAAAATAAAAAACAGCACAGGCCTTGGTGGCAACAGACCTGGGTTAGAATCTTAGCTCCCCACAGCTCAGTTACCCCAGCTGTAAAAAGGATAATAGTACCCACTTCATTGGCTATGGTGAAAAATAAATGAGACAATAGTTTCCAGTTCCTGACAGCAAAATGAGCACATGTTTGGCTTCCTATTTCTCCCCAAATTAAATAAGAGTACAAAAAGGAGTAAGTCCACAACAGCAAAAAGGCTAGGACAGAGGTTCTGCCCTTCAGAACTCTGGGGGAAGGAAGGATGAGGTCTCAGAGGGAAAGACAAATGAGAAATGGGGCAGAAAATGGGGAGATCTGTTCCTCTAGTAGTTTCCCCAACTCTCTATGAACACACAGGACAGATACCCAGGCAAAAAGATTCCAAGGCTTTTCTAGAAAGAAATAGCACAAACCGGCCGGGTGTAGTGGCTCAGCCAGTAATTCCAACACTTTGGGAGGTCAAGGCAAGAGGACTGCCTGAACCCAGGGGGTTCGAGACCAGCCTGGGCAACTGTGTGAGACCTCGTCTCTATAATAAATCACAAAAACTAGCCAGGCATGATGGCGTGTGTCTGTAGTTCCAGCTACTTGGAAGGCTGAGGCGGAAGGACAGACTAAGCCCAGGGGTCGACGCTGAGGTGGCCGTGGGTGTGCCACTGCACTCCTCCAGCCTGGACGACAAGAGTGACACTCCAACTCAAAAAAAAAAAAAAAAGAAAGAAAGAAATAGCACAAACCTACCAAGAAGATCTAAGGCTTTGATGTAGGTGCTGGTGCCCTAGACAAAGCAATCTTCATTTTGGCACTTAAGGAACCTGTAGCTTGTTAACTTCAACCCATTCACCTCAAGTCCTGCTTCCCAAAATGTGTGCCAAAGCACCTGGAGCAGCACAGCAAACTCAGAGGCATGTGAAATGCTTTAAATTTGAAGGAAGACAGGAACATCTTTCAGAAACCATGCAATCTACTACTATTAAGTTGTCTAGACCTAAATATAAGGTGGACCAGGGGTGCCATGGCCAGGGGTGCCATGAAAGAAATTACTAAGACACTAAGGGCACTGTGATCCAAGAGAGCAACTGGGAATCTCTGTTCTAAAACAAAGCACACCCCACCCATAACCAATTTAGTAGCTACTCTTCTTATTCAAAGAGGAATACTGAAAACAGATCTATTTACTCAATTAAAACACACACACACACATCCATACACACACCAATTACTCATTATTTTTTTGTTTTGTTAGAGACAGGATCCTGCTTTCACCCAGTGGCATACAGTGGTACAATCATAGCTCACTGCACTCTCTAACTCTCGGGCTCAAGCGATCCTCCTGCCTCAGCTTCTCGAGTAACTGGGACTACAGGCATGTACTACCAAGCCCGGCTAATTTTTAGAAATATTTTTAGAGATGGGGTCTTGCTATGTTGCCCAGGCTGGTCTTGAACTCCTAGGCTCAAGTGATCCCTGCCTTGGCCTCATAAAATGCTGGGATTACAGGTGTGAACCATTGTGCCTGGCTATACTTATTCTTAAATGTAAGTGGACAACCAAGGATCATTCAACGTGAGGAAGATTAGGAGCATTAAAAATGAGAGGGAGAGGCCGGGCTGGTGGCTCAGCCTGTAATCCGGCGCTTTGAGAGGCTGAGGTGAGTGGATTGCCTGAGCCCGCGGGTTCGAGATCCGCCTGGGCAACTTGGCAAGACCTCATCTCTACAACAAATAAAAAATCAGCCGGGCATGGTAGCGCGTGCCTGTAATTCCGGCTACTTGGAAGGCTGAAGTGGAAGGATCACCGGAGTCCAGCGGGTCAAGGCTGCGGTGGCCGGGAGCGGCCACTGCACTCCAGTCTGGGTGACAGAGTGAGACCCCAACTCAAAAAAAAAAAAAAAAAAAAAAAAAAAGAGGGAGAGAGATACACACACAGACACTGACTGACTCACCCCAGGGGAAACATATAATTCAGGCAAAACATATAATTCAAGGGAAAGAGAATTTTAAAAAAACCCCTCTCACCAATATATCTAGAGATCTGAGATTAATACATGTATGTTATAGGATGCTGGGATAAAGGATTAATCCAAACAAGAAAGAGCTTTAGAGACCAAAAACATGGTTGCTGAAATTTAAAAAAAAGTGGCTGATGAAAAAGTTAAGGAAATTTCCTAGAACATAAAGCAAAAAGACCAAGAAAGGAAAAAAGAAGAGAGACAGAGAAGTAATCCAAGAAATCCAAAATCCAGTTAAAAGGAGTCCCAGAAAGAAAGATAATTTCTTTCTCTCTTTTTTTTGAATTGGAGTCTCACTCTTGTCACCCAGGCTGGAGGGCAATGGCATACTTACCACCACAACCTCGACCTGCTGGGCTTAGGTGATCCTTCCGCCTCAGCCTTCCAAATAGCTAGAACTACAGACACATGCCACCATGCCTGGCTAGTTAAGAAAGATAATTTCTTATGGAAGAAATTAACAGAAGGAAATTTCCCAAAACTAAGGTAGTACATGAATCTCCAGATTGTAAGGATCCAACAAGTACTAACGCTATTAAAAAACCCATATTAAGCATATTCTAGTTAAATTCCAAAGAAAAGATTTCAACAGTTCCAAGAGAAGAAAAACAGTCACTTAAAAAGAGAAGAGAGGCCGGGTTTGGTGGCTCAGCCTGTAATCCCAGCACTTTGGGAGGCCGAGTTGAGTGGATTGCCTGAGCCCATGGGTTCGAGACCCGCCTGGGCAACTTGACGAGACCTCATCTCTACAATAAATCAAAAAATTAGCTGGGCGTGGCAGCGCACGCCTGTAGTTCCAGCTACTTGGAAGGCTGAGGCGGAAGGATCGCCGGAGCCCAGCAGGCGAGGCTGCGGTGGCCGGGAGAGGCCACTGCCCTCCAGTCTGGGCAACAGAGTGAGACTCCAAAAAAAAAAAGAGAATTAGACCAGGGACAACTTTTCATCAACACTGTCGGCCTAAAGACAATGAAGCTGTATCATCAAAGATAGGAAGAAAGGTTACTTTAGATTTCCATATCCAGTCAAAGAATGAAGTAAAAGAGATAAAATTTATAGATATGCAAATTACCTCCTTTTGCATGGGAAAATACTTAAGGATGTAGTTCCCTAAAATGAGTGAGAA